TATAGCAGGTAGTTTATACATAATCCTATTCGATTTCAGGATGTGAGCAGCTGGGAAGGTTCGTCAAGGGTACACATTCTATCACGAGCGAAATGAACCCCAAAGGTCCCTACCACATATATATATATGCGTTTATACACTGGAAATCACTGAAAGTTTGCACACATGCACTTTATCATACAGTATGTATATCTATATTAATATATATCCATTATATGCAATTTGATCATACGACATTCAAGTCGCATGTATTGTTTAGGTTCATTTTCCCCCTCAAACAAACATGAAAACGGGATTTGATGCGGGTCTTCCTGTCCAGTTTTCCGCTTTTTCCGCTCCAACCACGAGGTCATCGCTATGTGCTGTCGCCACCGGGGAAGGGCTATGACTGCACACGGACGTGGGAAGCCTTGGCCATGGGTCGCTCGGAGTACAGAGCGACTCATGGGCACCAGAAGTTGGGACATGTGTTGACTGGACCTGTCCCACACCTGGACCTGTGTTGACATGTGTACGACCTGCGGGCTTTGGGTGTCCTATATTGCCCCTCAGAATCCCCCACACACCCTTCGAAATACCGGACCCGACAATGGCACCAGCGGTGTCGAAGACATCACCTGCTGAGAAGGTACGACTGGATCCCTAATATATACAGATCGTAAATCCCCTCGTTGAAGGTACTTGATAGAAGCATTGAGACGTGTACGAACGTACCCACGACTTGCATGACCAGTTGAGAGCTTCTTTGTCGCGGCAAGGTTCAATGCCATTGATCCTTCGTGATGAAGACTTTGACCAACGCACCTAAATCGATTCCGAGGACACGAAGGAACGGGTTCCGTTCGAAGGACGTCCCGGAAGACGGACCGTTGGGTTAATACGTGCGAAGCTGGGTTTTGCGCCGTGAGTTACATATGGTCCGTGAGGAAATCGCCTAAGCAACCCAAAGTAATTACCCTGGTACTATGAAGATGGTTTGTGGTGAAAGTACCCAACGTTGAGCGATTTGGTTGTACCAAGTTGACCGGTTACAGTTCATGATATAGCTACGTATAGTACATACTTATATACCAAAGGGGCTTAGTCGGCTTAGTCTGTACCATATGGGGTGGGTCCGCGTGACTCTCCAGGTCAGAGGTCCGAGGTCCGCCACCGGGAAAAGCACCGCACGGCGGACCCTTCGAAGTTGGACGTCACGGAACACCCGTCGGCGGACCGGGGATGCCGCAGACTGGGAAGAGTCGGCATCACCCTCCACCTTTTTGTTCACCTGCATTCTGCAACCTACTGAGGTATACTACTGAGGTATCATTATGATGGGTATCTATACTTGGTCTCATGGAACATCAGCAGGTAGAACTGGTGACAGGCTACTCAAGTCCTACCAGTCCTACCCAGGAAGCATGGATTACAGGACCCTCCTGTCGGGGAGTCTATTTATAGCCCCAAAAAGCGGTGATCCGGGGTGTCCATGGTACCATTGCACTATTGCACTCCCTGGAATCCATGATTACGTGGTAATGGTACAATGAAGATAAAAGATCCCTGGAATCACAAACCCTAGGGATCCAAGTATCTTCTCAGAAGGTCATTGGACCCTCCACACCTACATAACAGTGTCTCCAATCACCGTACCTGAGAAGGTGTTTGGATCCCTACTAAAAAAAGATCCCTGGAATCATCATGATTACGTGGATGGCCCCGAAGACTCGGATCAGAATGAAATCCCAAGACCACCTGCGGTCGACCGCTTCCAGACCGCTTCCGACGGTGCAGACCGCGTCATGCAGATCCCCGTGGGGGTTCGTACAACCGGTGAGAACGTGGTGGTTTAGATTGGACATCAACGCCAAGAGGTCTGAGGGGGGGTTTCGTATACCTTTCAAGCCCAAAAACCAGATGCTGTTCCACTTCAAGTATAGTGGATTGAGAGGACGTAGATGGCACAGACCCCAATGGAGAGGTGGTTTAGTAGTGAAGCCCCATCTGTTCAGGACATCTTGAGGTCAGTGCCATCGAACCTCTGAAACCACTGTAAATAGGAAGGAAGCTCTTCATGACCTCGGAGTCCCCTTTTCTGGTTGGTTCAAACCCTAGGGCTCCTGGCCCATATCCTCAGCTTCGGTGGTTAGACCCCCCTGGCACCCACCCTAACCACCTTCTCAGGAGGTGGTTGGAGCCCTAGGGAAAACAACAACAACAACAACAACCTCCTTCCGCAAGGGTGTCGACGGCTTGACCCGTAGACCCTGAGCCTGTGCCTCGCGCGTGCCTTTTTTTTGATTTGAGGCATCTATGAGCATGCAGGAATCCGCAGCCTGCCGGCACCCGAGCAACTCACACCTGAATCTCGGTAGATAGTGGGGTGATGGTGGTTGATTTGCCCGCGGGTCACACCGGGCGACCCCGGGTTGACCGAAAAAGAACAGCTCCTAGACGATAGTTAGCGTTCCGGTGGACCTCACCAGTGGTGAAACGGGCGAAGCGGGTCTGTTCACAGAGTTGACAGGAAGCTGGGTCGGCCACCATCTCAGGAATTGTGGATTTGCAGGGTATGTTGGTGTGTAATGGCGCGTGTATATCCAATGAATTTGATAATTCAACATGTCTTGGACACTGTGCCTGCACAATGAATCGCTCTGACCACTTGGGGTGAGTGAAAGACGCACTACATGAATTGAATCCAATGTCTTGAACACTCCATGAACTGCGCGGAACATCCGTGCCGTTAAGATCATCCTAGGAGATCTTGGCCGAGATCCTCTCCGATGAAGAATCTGTGCAACGCTTGGACCAGAGCCAGTTGAGCTTTGGCAGACACGACGAGTGTCATGTTTGTTGGGGAAAGCTGGTCTCGACTGTCATGTCAGGAGATGATGTGGATGTGTCCCTTACAGCCCACACATGACATCACATGACATGGTGAAGGATGATTCCAGAATGGGTGTGTAACAAAACAGGGAGACCTCCCAGGCAACGACCCACTGGAAGCAGGGAAACAAACCATTGGGCCAGGGGGTTCTCACTATGAACAATACAGTACACGTCCATATGGCCCACTACACACCCATATGGCCCATACACACCCATATGGCCGCCCACACACACCCATATGGCCGCCCATACACACCCATATGGCCCATATTAATATGGCCCATATACACCCATATGGCCCATACGACCACAATCATTGATTAGATTCATGGGGGCCTCATGTGGGTGACAAGCAGACGATGCATTTGACTGCTTGACGTCCTGCCTTCGTTGGAGCGAGGTACGTGAAGCATTGGACCAACCTTTGGCGCCAGCATTTGTCCTAAGGGGCAGGCGCATGTGTGCGCAAAGGCATGCAGAGATGGATAGATGGTGATAGATGAGCAATGATGAGCAACAAGCAAACCAGTGGTCCTGATTCACTCTCTGGCTCGGTTGAGGATAGACGGATCGATATGTATGGATTCACATTGAGGAGAGATGGATAGAGATGGACGAGTCTCAGGCAAAGAAGGAGCGTACGGCTTTGCTCTATGACTGGATTACTGCGCGGTTGGAGGCTCAGGGCAGTAAGTGAGTGAGTGAGTGCCTAGATGGGCCAATTGGCAAACGTCGGTCCCTCCTCGTCCAAGCGACCGAGACTCACCACGAGACCGACGGAGGGGACCGAACCGAAACGGCGCTGCGGCCGAAGCGACGCACCAAAAGAGGTGCCTGCGGAGCAGACGCGATGACCGGGATGACGCGATGACTGAGTCGACCGACCCGACCCAGACACGACCTGTGGACTGGCAGATGTGCCACCCCGACCTCTGAAATGGACCGAATGTATGTAAATATGCCAGTCCCATGAAGTGTTTGGTTAATGGATTCCACTGGCACCCTCTTTCAGATCTCATGTGTTCGACACATGTAGAGTGAGAAAGAGTGAGTAGCAGGCGCCGTTACCGGGCCGTGCGTCGTTCCGAACCGGGGAGATACGGTGGATCCGGGGATTCCTAGGGTGAAAGGGACTGAGCTGGAACTCCGTTCGCTGGTTCTTCAGTTCGTGGTGGAACATCCGTCCTTTTCGCTGGTTGAGGTCACTCACGTCTTTTTTGGCATACGAAAGGTCACTGGGACTCCGAAAGTTCATCTTGAAGAAGCAGGATGTTTGTTGATCTATTTTATTTATCCGAAAAGAATGGCTGCGGCTCCAGTATGTTGAGATGAGTCCAGATCTTCCAACCTGTGGACAGATCCTTCCAAGAACGAGGTGGGACACCTGTGACACCGGCAGCGCTTGCGATCGAGACATCCAGAAGACACCCGTGGTGTTGACGGACCTGTTGGGATATCCTAGTGTTTGTTTGTGGCCTAGGCTCTATGAAAGGATTCACACCGGTGCCGGGTCAAACCATCTTCCGAATTGACAACCATCCTGAAGTCCCGCAGGAGATATAGAATATAAACCATATAAAATCATATAAAAATAAAATATCATATATGAAGCAGTGCGCTAAATATCAGTTTCCTGTTGGTTTTTGGATGTGTCTCATCTTCTTATGATACAATCTATATCATTGGGTCAATCCGTAGGGATGTGCTTTGACCACTGGCAGCTCCCTGACCACTCGCAGCGAAACCCAGGTCGCGGTGTTCGCTTCAGAAGATGCTTCTCCACCGAGCCAGGAAGGGTTGGACTGGTTTTGGGGGGTGACTGGCTCGGGCAAAAGCGCCGGATCTCGCAGTGAAAGAACGACGTTCATTCCTTTCAGAATTCACCTGCTAGGCCTCCCCCATTCCTCCAAGTCAGACTGAGCTCTCAGGTTCTCTCCATGCGGTGAAACGAACAGCACTGAGGGTCACGGACTCTCCGCGTGCTTCGACCGGACTCGTTGGAGAACTCGTCTGTGCGGGTGACGCGCACAGCCCACACGTCTACTATATATGATATTATGACTTAAATCCCTAGGGATCCAAGTACCTTCTCAGACGGTGATTGGAGGCACTGTTATGTAGGTATGGAGGGTCCAAGTACCTTGGATCCCTAGGGAATATGCATCGAGCTATAGAATCTATGATTGTGTATGCATGCATAAATAATCATTAATGATAAGATCACGTAAATACATGCATGGTGTGTTGAAATTTGTATATCTTGTAGATTCTTACACGGCGAATTCATCACGCCAGGAGCCACCACTCTAGGCACCTACTTGCAGCGCTGTGGCGCCAACTGGGGTGACGCCTATGACGTTCCTCGGACGACTACGACGTTTGGTTCGACAGCCATGGGCGTCAGTCGCGGCGAAGAGTTAAGTTTGGAACCACATCAACGGTGCTTTCAGAGCTTCGATGGCGCTGCCATCCTCAAGTTTGGTGGTTTATAAAATTTACACACTGCATTACACTGCCATCTAAAGGACAGCTTCGGGAGTGCCATCTCCTCTGTGCGGTATACACATGCATTTACGATCAACGTGAGATACTAATTACTTGGTACCAACGATGGAAAAGAAGGGTCACGGTCAAGGTCGTTTGGATTGTTCCTGTCCCATCGTTCCATGTCAACATCAAGTCAGAGTGTTGCTTGTCCCTCGGGGGTCCAGTCGTACCTCCTCTGAAGGTAACGTTGGATCCTCCAAACCATTCCAAACCTACCCCAAACAAACACCTTAAACCATTCCAAACCTACCCCAGTCCCACCTTCTCATTCTCAAAAGGTACGACCAGAGCAACTCGGAGCCCTAGGGTTTGATGTCTTTTTGCGCGGCGCTTCCTTGAAACCATCGCTTTTGAGGTGGAGCCCGTTCGGGACTCTGGAGCTGGGCTGTTCTCATGGCGTGTCTTGGAAGAAGTGACCCGGGGTGACTGTGACGGACTGCGGTGTGGTTTGGGTGGCCTGCCTGGGGCAGTGAAGAGACCTGTGATCAGATCGTGTTTCCTTTGCGTTTGCCTTTCTGAGTGAGGAGCGGCGGAAAACCGCCTCTCCCAAGTGTCTTGACGACGCTCAGACGTCCTTCCACTCATGGCCTTCACCAGACCCGCCCGTGCGACACGAACCACGCCTCTTCGCACCGGAACGCTTGGTCCTCACCGCGGCTTCCGCGCCCTCGGCCGCCGCAGGTGCCGAGATGCCGCCGGAGAGATTGGCAGGGCTCCGACCGGGCGATCTCCTGGAGTCGTGCCTCGGATGCGACGCAAGGCGGTCGACCCGGAGGTTTTTTCTTTGGACCGTGGTCCGTGGTTGATATCTGCGGAAACAGTCGGGTCCGGCGGGAAGATCGGGTGCCCTTAGGATCCGCACCCTCAAAAAACTCCTCAAAAACAAGGGTTTTTGAGATGTTTTGAGGGTACAAACCCTTGTTATAGAGGGTTCGACCCCTTCTAAGGAGGTTCCAAGGATCCTCAGGGTGGATCATTTTCTTCACTGAAGATTTGCCTCCCTCTGGGAAGAGAGACAGTTGGCTCTTGAGACAACCCATGCAAGTTTATGGGACACGTTGGGAGAACTGTTATCTTCCGCGGCGGCCGGACCCACATGCCATGGACAAAAGAGTCACAAAGACACTGGTCACTGAATGTCACTTATATATGTTTGCATATTCTGAACATCCATTTGCAGTGCACAGTGTATCCAGCCAAGTTCAAAGAACAGTATGATTGGTCAAAATCTTATAGCCCAAAGACAACGACTGCCTGACCCTCAAGTAGCACATGACCCCACCAAGGGCAGGTCACCTGTCACCTGTCTTCATTTTCGTGTACCTTTGGTGGGTCCAGGTCTACCACCAAAACCACGTGATGTTTTTCTGCCCAGGCACGACCCTGGACCCTCGTATGGAGGGGTCTGGGGTTTCTCACCAATTCCCAGGTTTTTGTGTGACTGGTCGGGTTGTAAACGGAGCATCGCCGTGCTGTGTGGACACCTTGGGTGAATTTATGGTTGATGACCCATCATAATTCCTAGGTGGGAGGATCACTTCGTTGGTGTTTCTTTGGTGGGTTAATTTATGCTCATCCCTCGTCATGCAGCTCCCAACACCCGCTCAGGCCCACGTTTCCGCTGCCCAGTGGCTGTTGGAGGACCCAGGAGTTTGTCAGCAGCCCTTGAGAGGGGAGAAAAGACATCTTTTGTACTCATTTCTTGAGAGTGGTTGAATGCTTAGTCAGATCTAGTCAGCTTAGGTGTCCTCAAACAGGGGGTGTTAATACCAGGGAGGGGGAAAACTTCCGGTGAACACCTGCTGCCGCGTGGAAGTCTCGAGGATCACGAGGGTTTCGAAAGTCCCCGCATATGTGGATGTGAAAGACCGAAGAAAAGCACAATTCCTGGAGAATATACTGTAAGTTTGTCATTTCCATGCAGCTCAGCTCTCAGAACTTAATTCTACACCGATACTCTTTGGGTTTCCTGAGTGACCCAGGATGTGGGAAGAGAGTTTTTCTTCAGGGAGAATAGTTGATGAATGTTGATGATTACTCCACAATAAGACAATGTGACAAGCCTATCAACACCTTCCGGGGCCAGCAAAGGACTGACCTACTAAACATTGATGGTCCAAGTAGCTACACTTGTTCCGGAATAGCCTGACCTAGTGAGCGAGCCAAGCTGCTGGAGGTTGAGACTTCAGTGAAAACACCAACCTTTTTGATGGAAGATGTACGAAGACGTGGATCATGTGGATGCTTCGAAACAACCATGGAAAAGAAACTGGTGGAAAGACATAGTTTGTTTGTTCACCCCACATTCTTTTGACCATGGCTATGCTGACAGACCAGGCTGTTGATGGAATTCCTGTCGAACATAAGCGGTTCTTGAAGCGACGCACCTCGCAGGTCGAGGTCGCTTCCAGCTGTTTCCCTTGGGCGACACACAGGAGGCGGGACCTTCCCCCGCCACACGTGCGGCGCCGCGGCGGGAGGTCCACGTCGGGCTCCAATACAACCATATCAAAACCATTACCAGTCTATACCCATATACCTTATATATACCCTTTCAAATTTCAAAGCATGCAATCATGAAATCTTTTGGATCATATACGCATTGATGACAGAGCCTTACATGCATGACTAATTGTGACCGTGAGTTTAGTGAATTAAGCTCTAAAATGCTTTAAACCATGTTTTCAATATTTCATTATATATTTCAATTTATTGTTTTTTGGTGTCTTTAGCACTGGAAGCTCCTTGAAATATAACTTTCACAACTACCATGTTATGCATGTTGCACACCTTCACCTACACCAAAAAAAACATACACATGCCTCAGGAACCCGTTTCGCGGTGTCGGACGTCAGGTCATGAAAAGTCGTGATCAGCTTCGGGGATTGGCACCTGGTCCACTGAACATGTTGAGACATCTGGGACATATATTCTTCTGGGTGGCGGTTTCAGATACTGTATGTTTATGACTGTTTATGTTCACAACCTCTACTTGGGAAGAGTGACCCTGGCTAAGATGTAACCAGTCATGAGGTATTACTCAAACACTGCATGTACAGTATGCCAAATATGCCGCTCCACTGACCCTTACCTGTACTCTGATCGGCAACTATGACACACATGGAGCGTTTGAGTTATAGGGCGCCCTATGGATCCAGTCGTACCTTCTCAGGTTCGGTACGATCGGACCTTCGAAACCTACATAACAGTGTCTCCTTCCTCGCCGTATTTGAGAGGGTATGTGGATCCCCAGTGTATAGAGATTTGCTTTCTTGGTGGCTCAAAAGCTCACACGGCCATACACGGCCTTTTGGTGAACACCCGTCATTGTCCACCAATCGGCGCGGGAAATTGGTTGCGAAGTCAGTGACGTGG